TTCAGTGCAGTTTGTGTGCAAGCACGGAACAGAAGATCATTTTTGAGCGTGTGGTGGTGCTGACCCAGATCCAGCGTAATGACGTCATCACACCGGATCTGGGTCAGCGCCGGCGCCGCCACACGCTCGCGTCATGATACTGTTGTGAACGCACGTCCACAAGTGACGCAATACGCAAAAAAGTATTCTCGTAGCTTTGTAACTTTACAGTTGAACCACTGATGTCTCACGGACTACTTTGTCGATCATCTTGGTACTTTTCTGGACCTTGAACGTGGTAGTTACCTTGCCGTCTATGGGAGGGTCAGAGAGCCCTCAGATTTCATCAAAAATATCTTAAATTGTGTTCCGAAGATGAACGAAGGTCTTACGGGTTTGGAACAACACAAGGGTGAGTAATTAATGACAGAACTTTCATTTTTGGGTGAACTAACCCTTTAATGTGATGTTTTCAGACACTTCATTGCATGTTAATTGCAATTAAATGAAAATGTATTATAGTTTAAATGCAATTAGCTGAACTTAGCTGCAACATCTTTTTATGTTAATTATTACTGAATAATTAATTTGAAATATGGTTAAAGTTTATTATGTCAAACAAAGAAACAGTAAGTTCATAAATATAAATATTTAAGATTCTGCATTATTTTTAGTATACTAATCATATATATATGACATCAAATACTAAAGTTTTTGTAACTTTTTAAATTCTGCTTTTTGCTTATTGTTATACTGAAAATATTTGTAATGAAATATTTTGTATTAAATTATGTGCAAATTCAATAACTACTTCCCTTCTTGGAGCCAGTGTTGTTTGAGTATATCATTCAGATACTATTATAGTTTTTATTAGTATTTTTAATTATATTTTTTTATTTTTATATTTACCGTTTTCATTTTCATTTTAGCTAAAGTTTTAGTAATTTAGTTGTGTTTTTGCCATTTGTATAAATTTTTATTTCAGTTTTTATTTTAGTACAAATTAAACTAAATAAAAATTTGAAATATTGTCTTGGCTACTAAATGAAAAAACTTTTTTGTATTTTAATTTTATTTAAACTAAAAAATATATATTGTTTTAGTTAAGTGTTATCACCCTGTTTGGAGCCTACTGTATATTACAAACAAACACAAATAAGTAATAATAATAATAATATTTAATTCATAAAGTTTACTTTTCTTCAATTCTGTCCTCCAACAAATATGTTCTGTGAAATATAAAATATACTACATTATATATTCTACAAAGTATATTCTCATATATTTTTAAAGTGAATAATTTAATAGGTATTGCATGGCCTTATTGTAAGACCCTTTCATACAGTCTCATTATAAAACATCCTCACAATTCCAGTCTCACAGAGATCTACAGCAGGAAGAGGGCAATAAATGTGAATGTGTCGCACTCCATGATCCTCGTCATCTTAACCCCGCGCGTTTGCTCCTCAGATTCTCTCTCCCGCTTCTAGTCCCGGACTGTGCTCGGCATCAAGCCTCATCCCTCATTATAACCCTGATCTGCCAGCTGGCCTTGCTGCAACCCTACCATCCATCCCACATCATTCATGTTCTCTCTCTAGCTGAAAATCAGTCAGTCAGACTGTAGATTACAGTTCTGATTTCTCTAATGCAAGGCCCCATTTATCAAGTTGGCACAAAAAAATAAAAGCTCTACTGTGGTTTTATTGGAAAAGTCAGTGGAGTAATGCCAACTCTTAATGAGGCCTTGCACCATTGGCTCTAGACTTCTGTTTATGACCCATGTCTTCTTTTTATATCTTTGTCTTATGCAGTTTGTTCACATGAAGTGGCAGCTAGTCGTTCAGACACTCACAGGTAATGTATACATGTATACACTTCCAGAACACACAATCCTTTAAGTCAGCATGAAATGAATTTGAATATTACAAAAGTAAATATTCTGATATAATATTGATTTCACACTGACTTTAATACTCTTAAAGGAACAGTTCGCCCAGAATTGAACATTTACTCACCCTCAGACCATCCAAGGTGGAGAAATGTAGCATTCCATCACTTGCTCACCAGTGGATCCTCTGCAGTGAATGGGTGCCGTCAGAACGAGTGTCCAAACAGCTGATAAAAACATCACAAGTAATCCACACCACTCCAGTCCATCAAATAATGTCTTGTGAAGTGAAAAGCTGCGTATTTGTAAGAAACAAATCCATAAATGCATTTTTATCTTCAAACTGTTGCTTCCAGCTAAAATATAAGTCCTTTATCCATAATACAGCTTTGTCCAGTGAAAAAGTCATCTTGTCTGAATCAGGAGAGAAATACGCACAGATCAAGCACTGTTTACAAGCCAAAACAGCTCTAAAGATATATGTGGGTGGATTTTGGACAACAGGAGATGGACTTTTTCACTGGAGGAAGCGTTATTATGGAATATGGACTTCTATTTTGGCCAGTTAAAACACCTTTATGGATTTGTTTCTTTCAAACACACAGCTTTTCACGTCACAAGACGTTAGATGGACTGGAGTGGTGTGGATTATTGTGATGTTTTCATCAGCTGTTTGGACTCTCATTCTGACGGCACCCATTCACTGCAGAGGATCCACTGGTGAGCAAGTGCTGTAATGCTACATTTCTCCAAATGTGTTTCGATGAAGAAACAAACTCATCTACATCTTGGATGGTCTGAGGATGAGTACATTTTAAATTTTGGGTGAACTATTCCTTTAATACCAACCTAACTAGAAAGATTTGATTTGTCCATACTGTGTTTCTTTCTCTTTGTAAACAGGCCTATGCCAGCATGATGAAGGTAGCAAATGATGAACACAAGATGCCAAGTGCACTGGATTGTGTGTGTGCACAGTAACCTTTTACCATCTATAAATAGTGCTACTTTTTCTAGTGTTTTATGTGTCAAAACACATGTGTAATGTGAAAAAATGTTTGTGTCCACAGAGGTTGCGTTAACCTAAATATTTCCACCATTTGCCGGACTGCAAAAGCATTACAAAAAGCATCATTCAAAACGCTTTCCGTCACTTTGACAAAAAAATAAATAATAGGCAAACGCATATCTGAAATGTTTTCATGTAAAATTAATCAGGTGTGTCTCAATCGGCTCACTAGTCAGGACACTGTCCAGGGCACTGAACATTTGCGCACTAAAAATTCCCACAATGCACTGTGTACTAATGTTAAATATCACATAAACATTTTAATAACAACAAATGAGATTATTTTGGCATAATGATTTTATTTTATTAAGCTACACTCTAAATTAAACTTTAATGCATTAGTAACTAACATGATAATAACATCCATACAAAGTGACAAATGAATGTGATTTAGCTACTTCAGGTGTCTGTAATGCAGTAATGCAACACATATGTTCTTCCACTCTGAGAACTGATAAATAGAACCTACCGGTTTCATCGGACTAAATTATTGGTCAAAAGACACCATGATAATAACAACAGGCCATATGTATTAGCTGGTTACTTCTTAAAGGGATTTTGTCTTAAGGTTTCTGACTAATATTTCATATGTCAGGCTTTGCAAGGTTATTAAAGATATAAACATTTACCATATTAAGATTATATTAAATACATCTAGGCCTATATAATAATCAGGGAAATGAAAACAATGACCGACAAAAATAGACAAAGATGACGGAAACTTTACAGTTCCTTCAGTGGCGGGGGATTATTTGTAGCGCAGCCTCTGTGTGTCGCAGCTCAATCATCTCTGTGTGCGTCTGAAGCTCAGTCAGGGAGTTTCTCTCTCATTGGCGATGTTTTTATTCATTATTCTGTTAACACTGCTTCATGTTTGCACTTAAAGGGATAGTTCATGTTTATCTGCTTACCCCCGGGGCATCCAAGATGTAGGTGACTTTGTTTCTTCAGTAGAACACAAACGAAGATTTTTAACTCAAACCGTTGCAGTCTGTCAGTCATATAATGGCAGTCAATGGGTTCCACGGCTTTAAGAGTAAAAAAACATACACAGACAAAACCAAATGAAACCCTGCGGCTCGTGACGGTACATTGAGGTCTTAAGACACGAAACGATCGGTCTGTGCAAGAAACTGAACAGTATTTATATAATTTTTTTTACCTCTGATCCACCGCAATGTC